CCGAGGGTGGGAGACCAACCAGCATAAAGATAATTATTATACTCCCAAAACAACATGCATGTTATGGATGTTCAGATACTCCTTTCATTGCTCTTGACCAAGGCACCTCAGAATTAGAGTCGGTCCCCGGGTCAAATGCAGAGGACAATTAGTGCAAAATCTTTTTTTCACTTTAATTTAAAGCGGGGGGGATACAAAAATGTGGTTATAATGGAAGTATATGGTACAAATCTTGTAGGTTAACAGTCCCTCATTTATTATGCAAATGGGTCAACTGATTATACTACTAATAAAGTCAAAATAGTTTTTAGAATATTGAATTATAGTGTATTTTTTCAAAAAAGCAGTTACTGGTATATGATCAAAACTGGTATCTAAAGGGTTACATTTGTATCGTAATTAATTAAATCATTATGTAAATTCTTCATGAAAAATTTGAGGAAAAATATTTGAAAAATATTGATCTGTCATCATTGTATTGCAGTTCAAATACAAATATGTTATGTTAACATTCCCAATGTTACTTTTTTTTAACAGGGTATTAAGTGCAAATTGAAATTGTTTACAAAATATGAAAATATATTAAAAGATTATACAGATAATACAAAATAGGACCAATTTTGTCAATGGCTGCCTACAGTATACTCCACTCTCCCCCATCTCATAGAAGTTTCCAAAGATTTTCATAATCATGCTTTTTGGTCTCAATTTTTCTGGCTCTTGCTTTCGGATTGTTAGCTAAGCAATGGCTTTGAAGCCAAGTCTTGACATATACCTCTGGTCTTAACTTGTTCAGTGGAGGGTTCACTTGATGAAAGGCAAGGCTGACATGCTTTTTACCTCTAGGGAGCTTCTAGTTGTGGTTAAAATGTTCATCTGACTAAACCCACGTTCACACTCAGCTGTGGAGATGACCAGAGTGTTCACTGCTTGAAGGAGGGGTTTCAGCTCTTCTGGTGCTGGTGGTATCATTTCATCAACAGTTTTGAGTCTTTCCAGCTAGCTAACACGAGAGAAAAACGTATAACTCCAAACTAAGTTGTTATTGCTGCTTATGTCCATAGATTCCACCTTTGGTGACTAAAGTAATGAGTAATGACTAAGATTACTGACTCTTGACTTACCTGAAATGTTATTTTTAGTATTTTTAAATATGAAGTCCCTCAGATCGCGTTGTCCTCCTGGTTGCTTGGCCATTCTGCGCTTCTGGCATCGATCAAACAGGCGCATCATGGCGCTCTGGTGCCCTCTAGGGCACTTGCATAGTATAGCGTCAGTGACTTGGTAAACATGTCATTGCGTGTGTGCGTGCTCACTCGCCCACAGTATTTTACTCAAAATGCGTAAAATTAATGTTGAAATAGCAGTAATACCAGTGCCACGTTCATTGATCAAATTACATAAGGGATGGAAAGGGGGAATGGCAGTTTTAGAAGGGGAATGATTTTGACCGTTTTTATTTCAGGGGGGATGCCATCCCACCTCAACTCGAGTACTGGGGATACAGCTGTGCACATGTCATCATTAACAGACGTCGTTTAAGAGTGACGTTTGAGTGAAGGAGGACATCCCAATTAATACCTGAGGACTCCTCTGTCCTCGCGTCACCTCCTCGTGTCCCTCGCTCGCATCTCACGGAGGAGGAGCTAAGATGCAATGAAGGCACGCGAGAGAGTGAAAGGAGGAGTCGAGGAGGGGTATTGGGATGAGGCTAGTGAGAACAGCTGTGAGGTCCGTGCAGAAAGCAGAGCAGTGTGCAAAATATATATCAGTCAGTATAACAGGCCCACATTACTCTCTGTATTTGTATGCTGTAGTTTAGTAGATATCTACAAACAAAGAGACGATATTTTTCTAAGACCATTTAGTGCTTCACATAATAAAATACACAACGGCTGTAGCCTGATTATGCTTTAGGAGCTGTAGGTGTGTGTGGTAGGCCTACAGTGTGTAGGTGTGTGTGTGGTACAGACTGTACCACACACACACCTACACACTGTACCACAATGTGTCGGTGTGTGTGTTGTACAATGCGTGATGCGGCAGACAGACGGGTCTCAGTTGGTTTGGTGTCCTATGCTTACTTTTAATACTTGTAAATACAACTTTAGGCCCATAATTTCAATTCCCCATTTCAGCGACCAGAGAGAGGGGGGGATATATCCAGTCTCTGATTGTGTTAAGTAGCCTATGAGAGCACTCTCATAATAACGTGTTTGATTCTGAAATTGTATATATTTATGTGTGTATATGTCCGCATCTGTAGCCTGTTATTGTCTCATTATACCGCACTGTCAATTAATCAATTAATTAAAAGTAAATATAAATCGTCATGAACACATCTGTCCATCAGGCTGCTGTGCCTCCTGTCATCATTGATGGACGTCTCTTTAAAATGACCGCTCAGAGGAGAGGAGTTCTCATTTCTCTAACCGCCTGCTGCTTCCCCTCCTCTCTCCTCGGTTCCCCTCCTCAGTCCTCCGCTCGCATCTCCTGTGGGCGGGAAGTATCGAGGATAGGAGTCGAGGAGGGGAAATTAGAGTATTGAGAAACCTCTATGGTAGGCTACTGACACCGGCTAAAATGATTGGTCGTGCTTTTCTAGTGGCTTTACAGGCTTCCACAGATTAAAAAATGTTATGTATTTATTGTCAAAGCATTTAATATATTCATTGCGGGATGTTACGAGCATTCCATGGAATATAACAAAAAGTGTTTCTGAAATAAATTACATACCCCACCTTTAAGTGTTTTTCATAATAAAAAAAAGACTTGCTCATCTTACTGTATATGCTGAATTGGCCTAACAAGAAACCACTGGCCTAACAGCAAATGTCTATCCTGTGTTGGCCTAACTTGCTCATCTGTGTGCAACTTTGGGCTGTATGCCATGCATGAAAGGTGCTATATAAATTATTATCACTCTTTCACTCTGAGACTCATAAGGCAGTATATTTAGTAATATTACCATGAATCTAGCTATTTACCATATTTTTATTGGAAAACTCTGAAACTCTGAAAAAGTAATATTGCTAGTTTTCAATATGAAGGCCAATTCGACTGATTGGTTGAGCATATTTTCCAAAACATAATTACACCCTTGTTGAAACTTTTGTTGTGCATCAAGTTATCTAATTCTGTTAAGTCAGTGCTCTGACACTAACATATGTCAAAAATGATATGGTTACCTTACAAAGGTTGAACAAAAAGAGTGATTTCATCAGCAGTGATCTTTAGCATGCCAAGTTTCTCAGTGGAAGCTAGCTGAAGGGCTTTCTGTTCGAACCACAGCGACATCTAGAGGTTGTTTTGTACATAACATGTCAACCAAATCGTAGAGATGGCTGAATCAGATGGAGTTCAACTTGTTTATTTATTCAACACGATATCAAGACACAAAATGTGCTCTACCAAATGGTGGCGCTGGCTGTTAAAGGGTTAGGTGAAATGATTTCCCCTTTTCATATTTGATACTAATATTTTGATTCTGTACTTAAGTGAAAGTAAGTTGAAGTAATGACTTCCACTTGTAATGCTACTGTTGCTTAAGTTTAAGCTCTGATCATGAAAATCTTACACCAACTGCACCAAATAAACATGTTCTTCTCACGCCTTCACAACTAACAGTGTTGTGGTTTGAAGAATTTACTGCCAACTTTATAAAGCAATTCACATACACATGCAACTCTTCAGCAGGAATATTATGAAACTTTCAAGGCGACGTGAAAAATGTAACTCTTAAGCTGACCAGTGACCCCTGACTTCTCCCATAGCAGCTTGCAGGCTGACAGGACAGAAAGTCATGTATTGCCTCAGGCTGCAGTCCTGAGAGGCCTGCTGACTGTACCTACTCTCACTATTTCCAAAGTGGATGTGTTTCTGCAAAATTCCTTATTTTGGATAATATTTAGACTGTCAAACTAAACTCATTATGCATTGCAAGGTCACAACTTGCACAACACCAAATAACTGCTTAGGGAACATTTCATCATGTTGTGTTTGCATGGTTGTGCCATAAGCGTGCATTGTAGCAGTATGATCCGAAATAGCAGTGGGGGTCCTTCACCATAACACTATTAACACTAGCTATCAATAAAAGGATCTTTGCATGAAGTGTTTGAAACTCCAAGTGTTGATTTCAGAAACTCAGTCCGCGTCTTTACCTTTTCTGACTCTTACATACTTTACTTAAATACCACCTCTCTCTCTCTCTCTCTCTCTCTCTCTCTCTCTCTCTCTCCTCTCTCTCTCTCTCTCTCTCTCTCTCTCTCTCTCTCTCTCTCTCTCTCTCTAATCAGGATTTCTTGTACCTTTTTATAGTATCACTCCCATTTGGCTAAAAGAGCAAATGTCAACCCTGTTGTGCGAAGGCCCTTTTGTTTTCCGCTCTGTTGGCTTCACACATTGACCGTGACTGTCTGGCCCAGAAGTCCTTGGGGCTGACAGCATCATGTGAAGTGGGACCCACCAAAACAACACAGGATGCAAAGGAAAATTCACCAGAATATCTTTATTGGACACTAACTAGCATAGGTTAGGCATACTGGCTTTCCTGCTCCTCAAACTGAGGGATGTATTGTATCTCACAAGTCTGAGACATTACGCATTTGTGGTTTGATACGCTATGTTCTGTTCCTTTGGAAATTACTCAACACAGGAATGAAGAATGAAGAAACACCCAGTCCAAAGAAAAATAAAATCTTCTGGCCTTCTGTTACGTCAGTGAAGAGAGAGCTTTTGTGAGCCTGCATGAGTCGCTGTGTTTAACTCCCACCTTTGCGATGAGGCCCCTCCACCACTGCTGTCGGTGAGGGCCCACATGGAAGTGATTATGCCGTGCAGAGAGTGGAATTACAGAGAGAACCTACAGAACTGGAGCCCTCCTTTAACCGCTCACTCATTCACTTAGATTTACACTCATGAGCAAAAGCGCAGAAAGCCCATGCAGCCAAGTGAACACACACACACACATACAGGGACAAATGGGCACACACACCTACCTGAAGCTGTACATTTCCACTGCTGGCTCTGTTGGGACAAGGTTGCAGTGTGCTCCGCTCTCTCTCTCCTGGATGGGAGTGGGTCGGGGCCAGGGCTGTAAATTCCTCAGAAAGTGCTGTTAAGAGCGCCTCCATTAAAGCAGGGGGGGCCGGCGCTCGCCAGAGAGGAGCCGACTCAATAAGTCATCGTCAAAGCCTGAGGCCTCACGGGGGCCCACGGGAGAGCCACGTTTCACAGACTGGATTAGGGCGACGTCGTTCCATTTAACACACCTTGTTTACCTGGAAATGCAGGTGGTTAAAATGCTGCATCCTGGCAGTAATGGGCAACTAAGAATAATTTGACTGCTTTGTAATGCATCAGCAGGGGGTTTATTGACTCATCAATTTAAAGCTCAATGATTACTTGCACAGCTGTTGACTGATGTGGCTTTCTAGACTTGCTTTTAAGGACTGGCTGCATAGAAACAAAACTCCAATTGGCCCATTATTATTTGAAGAAATTGCAACGTTTTACTTACACCTACTGACAATTACAGATCAAAAAGTTGCCTTGTTTAGTAGCCAAAATAATATCTAACAACTCCGATTTTTCATTGAAGTATTCAACAACACCATCAAACAGGAAATGAGAAGAGTTTCAAAATAAATGTCAATAAAGGTCTCATTATTTCACTACACGTCTTTATCTGTAGTACTAGAGGACAACATACTCTAGAAGATGCATTACAAGACAAGTGATGAAACATGACACATCAGACACACTGCTTTGGGCTATCAGTGTATTACTGTATTCAAAATGATCCATCTCAGTATAGCACACATATTGTTAAACCAACATTTTAAACAGGAGGCATAACAATACTGTATCTGTAGTTCTTAGACATAATACTCTGACACTATTATGTTTACTGGTAAATCTAGTTTATATGCCTGCTCAGCTCAAAATGTGCAACTTAATAAATGTAAAAAGTTAGAAACAGATGCCACAGTAGCTTAGAACATCATTCCTCCACGTGTTGTCATTTGCTACTTGCTCCATCACCCGAAGGTTTATGAGAGTGGCACGATTTGTGTACACACTGTGGTGTCTGAGTACACATTAACCATTCCCTTCCCTTCACACACACTCCTCCCAATCAAGCCCATTATTATCCCAGGCGTGCTGCAGGCTCTCAAAATATCTGTCACGCAGCTGTCGGCACCTCTCGCTCAGCAGCTGGACAGGCTCCGAGGCACTCCCTCACATTTACCCTGATACAGTTCTACCTCGCCCTGAAGGCCAGAGGGGGGGGGGGGGGGGGGCAGGAGAGTCTCCTTGTATCACAGTTGGTCCATAATGTGTTTGTTTTCTTTTCAAAGCAAGAAGTGAGTGATCCCTGCACTTATGAGACATACAATCCCAGACAAATGCATGAAATGTATGCACCAAAGTTTGGAAGCTCTGTATGCAAAACTTCTTTCCACTATTTTTAATGCTTTTACTCACTACTGCAAGGCCAAAACATGGCTGTTTATTTACGAAATAAGGTATGAGAGGCTGTGTTTAGTGATTTAGTTGGACATATTTAAGCCTTAAAGAGACCAGCAGGACCAATAATCCAAGCGATATCAACACAAAACACATTTTTAGGTTGGATTTTCTTTGGTTAGTTTTCGCCAAGCAATGTCGTTCTTCAACATCAAAACTACAGTGGGATCATATTTTTTTTCAGTGAAAAAATAGGGCTTTAAACTCAACAAGAGTGAAGCAGGCTGTCAAATCAAAAAAGGGCTTCTAGTGGACGCAAGATAAATGTTCAGTCTCCTGCCAACTTGTTATGCTCCATACCACTCTGAGAGCAATGATTGACGGAGAAAGAACATATTAAACTTCCTGTTGAGATTTCAAGGGGGGAGCGAGACAGATAGATATAGTATGTGCTCTGGCAAATCTCAGCTGCTCTCCTATGGTTGATAATGTATGACTGCAACTAATCCAGTGTTAGCCTTCAGAGCAGGAGTTCTTCTTGAGTTTGTGCCAAGATTTTATTAGAAACAGGCTTACTATGGGTATTTTTCCTTTTTTTTCCTTTTCCCCCCCATCCTGATTTCCTTTGTCCTTTTTAAGCCAGTTCATAGGCCTGATATAAATCTCAGCAAAGAAATAAGTTAATGGTACGTTAACACATACTTAGACAATGGTTCGGCAGCAAAAATGAGAACAGTGGCGCTAGTGACAAACAACATGATCCTTTTCTGACATGCCAAGGCTTTCACACTATCCCTTCTCCCAATAAGAGCGACACCATAATATCAACTCCAGGAGCATTCTTCCTGTCTTACCCCCGTTTCGTGGCTTGTCCCTTCTTGCCTTCGAGCAAGCAGGAAGCGGCTGCATGCAAGATTTAAGATCTGAGATCAACAACATGGTAAACGGCTGCTACTGAAAAACTGGGCACCGTTTTGTTTAAGAGAAAGGGATCTACTCCAGACAACTACCAGTAAATATTAACAGGTTGAGAAGATTTCAGTGTTTTCCTTTATAACCAAAATGTCTTGTTCTCCACAAGTAAGGCCAATAGGCAAAGTTGGTAATACTTCCCCAGAACACATGAAGATTTACTGAGAGAAAACTTTTTCATCTGATTTCATTTAGTTTTAATGATCTGAGATCCAAGGTTCCAGTGGAAATATCACAGTAATTTATCCTAATTTGGATTCTGCTTTGCTTCCCTTTCTTTGATGTTTTCTTTTTTCTTGGAGAAAGACAAAAGCAACCAAATAATAGTGAATTTTCCATCATGCTCTCCAAACCCCTCCTCCCCTAAACCCTTAAGCAATCTCACTCCCTTGCTGCAGCACTCCACCCCATGCCGCTTCACTTCATTCTCTTGCTCTTCATTCGTTTCTCTGCTTCGGTGAAAAACCAAACAAGCCAACCATTAAGTTGAGTTAAGCGCAGGAAGTGGGCCTTCGGGCCAGGCGGCACTGTTTACAAGGAGCTAGTCAGGTTTCAGCGGTGCTTTGAAGTGAGCAGCACACAGGAGACTGTCTGTCACTATGCCTAGGCCCAGCACCGCTCCACTGACTCACTTGCATTCCCCCCATTCATCTGAGTGGAGAGAGAGAAGGAGGGTGAAGGCAGGGGGAGTGTAAGAAGGGAGATTTATGTGTTTTTGCCCCTTGGAGTATCTGTTTCTACCTTTAATCACTCTCACTTGTCTGTTATTACAACGTTTCTTTATTTAACCTCACATAAGGATACAAGAAAGACAAACATCAACTTGTACGACGGGACAGGATATATAAGAGAGACAGTAAGGCTTTGCTATATGTGTCAGTAATTATACTGCAACCTAGAGAGGCTAATACATTGATGATGTTTAATTGCACACGTAGTAACTGTATGTGCGTGCAATCCTCAAACTTCTTGCTTCTAGCCCAAAGCTTCACTCTGAGGCAAGGGGATCAACTTTCTCCAACACCCATCTACTTCATGACATCACCGCATAGAAGGTTTAGTTTCAGCCATGCATGGCTCGGGGGATTCCAACTTGGCACAAAGCAATGGCAGCTCCAGAGAAGTAACACTATAGCAAACCTGAACACCCTTGTTTTCCCTTCACCAGGCAGGCAGGGACTTTTTCACACCTATGCACAGACGGTTTCTTGCCAAATGACTCCTGTTGATTTAAGCGAGCCCTCTCTGACAACAGGACACAATAAAAAAGGTTTTTTGTTTTGTTTGGCACTTGGAGGCGATGATAGTGTACATGTGTGAGAAGGCATTCATACAGGTTGGCACCGGTTGGCACTAGTGTCTCAGACACAAAACACATAGATGGGAATTATTTCAGAATAAGTTAACAATTTGGGTGAATAAAGTTTCAATTGGTTCATTTTGATATATTTGTTATTTTTTCTCAAACTGTCACTATATCCTGACAGTTGTGCATTATCAGATGCTGCCAAAGGACGACATGTTGTTAACAGTCCAGCCAAAACTAAGCACCGTCCAACAGTCGGAGCAAACTTTCCTGTTTTACAGCTAATAACCAAAATATGTTTCTGAAAACATTTCAGGCAATAAATGGCCAATGCACTCAAATAATCTTGATTCATAATCATATCTGACCAACGCAGTTTGATAGTTCATGAGCAGTGATTCTGTCTGTGTTAGACTCCTCGGCTCTGATTGGTTGGTTTGCTTTCGTTGGGTTTGAATCTCGAAAATAATATTAGGAGAACTAGGAGACAGATAACTTGACTTTTAAATATATTATTTGAATCATTCCTTACTGTCCAAACAAGTGATAGTTTCAGCAACTATGATGAAAAGGTTTAACGCAAAAGGTGGTTTAATTTGTCTTAGTTTAAACCATGGTTTAAACTCACTTCTTTTATTTCCCAGAGGGCTACACTCAGGGCTTTTTCCATTAGGAATTCAATAGTCTCTTTTACTGTTCTCCGCAAGTCTGAGGAAGCAGATGTTCAGTTGTGACACAAACCCTCACCCCCTAAAGAAAACAGCATGAGCAGTTACTTTTTGTTATCAAAAAGTAACTTGCTATAAAGACATTTAATCACTAAAGGGACTCAACATAAGTAAGGAAAAAAGTTAAGAAAAAACTAACTTAATTCATTTTTTATCATGCGCTTGGAACTTGAAATCAAGAATTTAATTTATAGTTAATGGATTATATCTGAAACCTTTGCTAAAGGTTTTTCATTTAAAAAGTACTGACCAAAAAAGCTTGTTCGATATCATCCATGTCAAAATGTTCTTTTAATCCATACAAAAACAACGTAATTCATAATCAACAGTTAATTAAAAAAAGAGCATGTTTGGATCTACGGTATGTGGCTTTCTTACAGTGCAAAAGTATAGCAGGTACACTAGCAGGAAGAGTATTTACTTATAAATACAAATATATAATTTCATGTTTTTACAAATACTATTTACAATTTCATTTAATTACATATGAAATGTTTAAGGAGCGAATAAACCAAAGTTCATTCCCCGCTCTCTGTGTTCTTGGCTGCTGGATCATCACTCCCCTTGAGCTTTTGGTGGATTTAAGAGAGGGGGAGGGAGAGCATTTCAGCACATGTCATCCATAGCCATGCTTGTTATTTGTTCAGACAGTCAGGCTCAGTCCTTGTTTATCCAGCTTGCCCTTTTGTCAAATCCCTGACCCTCAGTTTGGCATGCATGTGTGGCTATAAAGTTGAGGTGAATACAAATGCTGTAAGAACCAATGGCTACTCACTATGCTACTCACCTATCACATGAGAAACAGGTAATAATACACAACTTAGTCCCAGCAACATTTAGATATCCCATTATTCTACACAGTGGTCTCTCCGTGTTTGCCATTTGTCAGCCTGGTGTAAAACTTATGCCAGGACTGTAGAGTTTTTCCAGACCAGATCCAGAAACCAGAGGTGATGCCCACTATCAGAGTCATCAGGTACTTGATCATGTAGACGGTAAAGTCTGGAGTCATGCGGGGCCCGGTCTGCTTGGGGCAGGGGATGGCCAGGCCCCTGCAGTTATGGCTGACCCAGTTCCTCTCCCAGTGGGAGCGGAAGGCCTGCTCGTAGAAGACGCAGGCGATAACAATGGTGGCGGGCACGGTGTAGAGAACGCTGAACACCCCGATCCTCACCATCAGTCGCTCCAGCTTCTCTGTCTTGGTGCCATCGTGTTTCATGATGGTGCGGATCCTGAACAGAGACACAAAGCCGGCAAGCAGGAAAGAGGTACCGATGAAGAGATAAATGAAGAGAGGGGCCAACACAAAGCCTCGTAGAGGGTCCAGGCTGCTGAGACTAACGAAGCAGACCCCGCTGAGCACGTCGCCCTCGATCTGCCCGATGGCCAGGATGCTGATAGTCTTGACGGCCGGCACTGCCCAGGCTGCCAGGTGAAAATACTGAGAGTTGGCCTCAATAGCCTCGTGGCCCCACTTCATACCTGCTGCCAGGAACCAGGTAAGAGACAGGATGACCCACCAGATGGAGCTGGCCATGCTGAAGAAGTAGAGCATCATGAAGAGGATGGTGCAACCTTCCTTTTTGGTGCCTTGGACGATAGTTTTATAGCCTTCTGGGGTGAAGCTGTCATTGCACACCACTTTGTCTCCCAGGAAGTATCCAGCTATGTAGGCTATGGAGACCATAGTGTAGCAGCCAGACAGGAAGATGATCGGTCGCTCAGGGTATCTGAAGCGTTGCATGTCCACTAAATAGGTGGTAACTGTAAATAAAGTAGATGCACAACAAAGCACAGACCAGACCAGAATCCATATGCGGGAGAAATTGATTTCTTTGTCAGTGAAAAACATGTACCCACCGCTCCTTGAGGGGTCACAGGGAGCTGCACAGTCAATCTCATCTAAAAACTTATAATTCAAATATGGTGGTACTTTGAGAACAGATGGGCAACGAAAAGGCCTGTCATGTCTGGGGGCCATGGTGTGGTCGTGGGTCCCCGAGACAGGAGTTGGGGGTGGTAGGGTGGCGTGGGAGGAATCGTTTTGGCCCACACAGATCTGTCCGTCTCCCAGCACGGGGAAGTTTTCGCAGCGCAGGCGCTCGGGCCACTGGAAGCCAAACTTGTTCATGAGAGCCTCGCAGCCCTGCTTGGCTCTCTCGCAGATTGACCTGCAGGGAGGAATGGCCTTCTCCAAAACTGTGCACACAGGCGCATACATGGAGCAGAGGAAGAATTTCAGCTCCGGCGAACACTGTACCTTCACCAGAGGGTAAAACTGGTGCACCTCGAGCCCTGCGTCTTCCTGGTTGTAATGTCCCACGAGATTTGGCATGATGGTTTGGTTATAGGCAATGTCCGTGCACAGAGGTATGGAAATCGGCTGACAAAATCCGTGCTCCGGGACGACTATTCCGTTGTCCCCTTGATACTGGGCTGATAACAGCAGAGGCAGCAGGAGTGCAACAGCCCAGGTCTTGCAAAAAAACATCTTCGAAAAAGTATAAAACAGTTTATAACCGGATTAACTGGACGTGAAGTGGTTTAGTGTCCTACCATAAATTCTGCAAGCAGTTCTTTAACTTACACAAGTGAAAACTCTGCGGCATAGACCTGTACGCTGCTCTCCGAGTGCCTGCTCTCCGCTTTTAACACTGTTGGCTTACTTTTTACTTTTCCACAACTCCGATCAATCCATCAAGGCAGCCATACTAAGCAACATAACCTCCGGTGAAAACTTTCAAAATAAAATCCTTTAGGTAAGGTATCCTACGTTTATTTATAGGCCTATAGCACATTTTAAGACACAGAGGCAATTTAAAGTGCTTTACATCATCATTAACACTTAATAATAAGACAACAGAGAGGAACACAATAAATAAACATAATGGAATAACAGATTCATTAAAACCATGCATAAAAGAGATGCAGAATAGTTTAAAAACAACATTGTAAATACGTTGGGTGCTAAAACAAGTTAAAAGGCTTCTGGGTAAGCAGCTGTAAGACGAACATGACTTGTACAATGTTAATAAATGTACGCAAAGCACAAATAATGCTTATAGACAATACATAATATCATTTGTTTATTCTTCTCATTGATATTTTTGTTATTATTAATGTTGTTATAATTATTATGTTTTCTTATTGCATTCATCAACCAAATACATATAATATTTCTACTATGCATTACAGTAAAGTTGATTAAGTCCTCATACTCATTAGAAATGGATGACAATGCATTCATTTTTTTTAAATAATGATATCTTGTTATGATATTTCAAAAACACAATCATACACATTACGCATAATTTCCATAATCTCCCAATCGATATTATAAATGTCTATATAAAGGCAATGTTGTTAAACTTGTTTTTTAACACTTGTGCTTTTATTTTGAAAGTAATGTCGCTTGTGTCCTGCTTGTATTTTTTTGATTCCACAGCTGGATTGTGTGGCCCAACCTCCATTTATATATACAGTCTATGGGCCCAACCAGAGCCCTAGAGAGATAAGGGCTCTGGGCCCACAACCATACAGTCTATGGGCCCAACCAGAGCCCTAGAGAGATAAGGGCTCTGGGCCCAACCATACAGTCTATGGGCCCAACCAGACTTTCAAGTTCCCCTTTAAGTAATATGTCCATGGGAGGAGGAGGAGGAGGAGGAGGAGGAATCATGTTATGCAGACAGTATATGTTTTTTGAAAATTAACTCATTTATGTATGTACTATTCTGTCAAATGTATTGTAAAACATTTTTATTTTTAATTACAGAACATACTGCAAATAATGCAATACATTATAATCACAACAACATCGACACATATATTACAATAGGAGTTGCACATTATTTATAATTATTTAATTGATTAAAACCCTTATTTACTACCTTTTTTAAAGTAAAACAATTCAGAGATGTAATCAACAAGTGAACATATGAAAAGCATTAAATAAAAGTAATAATAAACTTCATACCAAATATTAAAAGTTTAATCATCTTAATTATTCTTCAAAATCACATACACTTCCAATTCAATTGGGGCCAGGGGCGGACTGGGACTAAAATTCAGCCCTGGAAACTGACCCAGTCCGGCCACATGAAATGTCAAATGTTAGAAATCCGCTGTTTATTATTTAAAGTTTTATGTCCGATTCGCTCCTTTTCCCTCTCTGTACACAGCTCCAGTTTGGGCATTGGCCTGTCATCAGATTTCATTTTTAGTTGCTGCTGTGTAGCGGAAGTTTAGTAAAATTATGTTTGATGAAATACTCCAAATCTCTACCCTCCATAATTGCAATTGCTTCAGTTGCTTGCTACTTTTTGTGATGACAGTTACGGTACGAACTGAAGTTGATGCGATTTGATTGGATTGTCAGGCATGATGTTAGCCTCATCTGATTGGTCAATCCCTCAATTTATTTTCACCAAGGGAAGCCAATTTCGGCTAGCCTCCTCTCGCAACAGAGTGCAATCTACTGTTTCATCATAACATCTAGAGGGGCGCTGTTTCACTCTTTGTAAAATACTCAGAGAATGGGGAGAGACGGGCCGGCAGAATAATTACCGAAACTAAACAAAGTGTTTTTATTTATTTATTAAAATTATAACTACAATCCAAAAAAACAGGGGAAGCCTGGCATCCCTTGGCCTCCAGGAGAAAACGCCACTGAGTTCAAGGGATAATTCTCACCCACCTCTTGCTCTTGCCCTGCACGTGTGCCAGTTGAGCTGGTTCTTCCAGCAGCTCAACTCTGTCCCTCATCATGAACGCAGGAGGCTGGCTGTATATCTGAACTCTGTCCCTCATCATTCTCATCATCATCTTGCACTTGTTCTAAGCTGCTGATGATAGTGCTTGTAGCAGCGCTGCTGCCAAAAAGGTCTGTCAATTTGCGACATTGATATGCTTCACCTGCGAGTGACTTCACCTTTTTCTCTCTTGCCTTCTCGGCCCCACCTTTTTCTTTTCGTTTTCTTTGATATTTATCCATGTTTTTTATTCTCCCTGTCTGCCGCGGCGTCTAATCCCTTCTCTTCCTGTGGCCGGTCTTTTTTCTTCTTCGTGTGTGATTATTTGACAGATAAGAACCACACAACTGCATTAGCGCCCTCTGTCGGCCGTCAGCGCAATTTAAATGATGACGTTAAACTTTTTTTTTTTTTTTAAAGGGCCGGCCGGCCGTCAACGGCCCTTGACGACCGGCCGTTCTGTGGTTCTCCAGATTCTACAGATGGCCAGTCCGCCCCTGATTGGGGGGTAGCTTTTGTTATTTTTAATGTACGTATAATATTAACATAATAATCAACAAGTGCACAATTGATTAAATATGAAATATATCATGATTTAATTGATGAATGTGCAAATGTGTTATTAGTGTGTAATTACACTTTTACAATCAATTTTGAAATGAATGTAGGCTATTCACTAGTTTAAAAACAAATAGTGTTCTGGTTTATGGGTTAGGGTTAGCCTAACCCTAACCCCTGTTGTGAAATACTTCTATGTGGAATATATATATATACTTCCACCTTTAATACTTTCACCTGGCTGCTATATCACAAAACTGTTATTGGTAGTGGATGTGTATTTTGTGAATGGTATAATTGTATAAGCTAAGATAAGCTGCTTATCTTTGGCTCTTTACTTGCTGTAACAAATGTACATTTCCCCTCTGTGGGACGAATAAAGGTATTCTGGTTATCATTCCTAATATTATTTATGTATAGATTATTTACTGGAAATGTATTATATATTGGTTGTGTAAAAATGGGTGAACTCCATGTGGGCATAATAAACATAGACTGAATATAATAACCATAGACTGTATGTATAATACTTACCATATTCTGACTGTATTTAATAAGCGGACCACCTGTGCCATAATGCCAGTGCACAATGCTCTCAGATGTGGGGGAGGGTGGATCACTACCTGTTGCTATAGGTTGCTATGCTCGGATCTCCTGCTGGATGTTGATTGGATGAAAAACAGAATTCGTCAGGCTAAAGCCGCCAATGTGCCTTCAGGTCGCGAGGGAAACATCGGAGCTTTGGGTCCGGCCACCTTGCAAGTAGCACTTGAACATTATGTACGGCCGCTGAACAAAACTGCGCAGGTAGGTTAATTCTGTACTTTACTTGGATCACGTTGTCTGTTTAGCGAAGTTAACCACATTTAAACGGCAGTTAATCAGTTTTAATATGGGCGAAAGTTGAGTTCAAGTTAGCCAAGCTAGCTAGCATCGATAGCTTGCTAGCTTAATCGCCTAACTTTAACGGCGAAGTTAATTTTCCTTTCCCTGAAATAGTAGTGAACTAATGGTTTTAGTTTGACCCAAATGTTTCTGTTTCATCTGGCAACATCATATATTAACTAGTATCTTGTGTTTTTCCAGGCCAGTATTACATGAACGTTAAAGAATAATTTCAAGGGAGTGCAGAATGGCATTTGATGGGCATCAGAGCAGATTTCCAAATTCATTGTTTCCTTCAAACCAGCATCAGGTAAGACACCACTTTTAGGACACAACTTTGACATTTGAAGTAACCTTACACATATGTTGAGAGTTTATAATAGGGAAATACATGTTGTAAAATGGTGGAATCATATAACGTGTCATAGCACAATACACGTGTTCATTAGGCCTTAGATATATTCAGAGGATCAAGATCCCTTAACGTTCACTTTTGTTCACCCTAATTGATTAAGAAACGAATCATTTCAGCTATAATTGTCTCGTTTTGTTCTCAACGGTATTCTTATATATTCTGAAGCTTCTGTGACACTTACAATGAGTTTTGTAATTTGATTCAATCTGATTGATTCAATCTGCTATGTGCAAGGAATAACACAAAAGTTACGAAGTATTTTTGTTTACGTGTAGTGAGCTTTAGATTAATTACCAAAATTGTAAATGTTACACTTGCTCGCTCAGGCCAGTCAAAAATATTGCTTATTTCCCTGTGATATTGGTATTTTGTCAAGGAGTTTTGGGAAATCGTGTCGACATAGCATTCCGTGAGGCTGATGTCATAGTTGATGAAATGGAGACGCTGGGCCCTTCTCTCTTCTCTTATTTTTCATTTCCTCGCTCCTCAGTCTCGGTCTCACCGGAAGTTGATTTGTCTGCGCCATCTTGAGTAGCGTCCCAATGGCCTTATTTGTGCCGGAGGACGGAGGACCACCAGACCATCCTTCGATGAAATCCTCAGACACTCGCCCCGCCCTCTTACTGTGTATCGCTCACTGATTGGACGATGCAGTGCATGCACTGATCTGATGCTTCTTGACATGAGAGCAGTTTCCCAGCGGAGTGAAGAAAATACATGAACCTCACGGGACTCACTCCTCAGTTTATACCGTGTTTTGTTTCAATTAATGTATCATTTAGTTACACACACACCCCCGCCTCTGTTAGTACACATTTACTGACACAAACATTTGTATCATCTGTTGCAGACTAAAATAAATAAAATGAAATAAGAACTAATTCTCAAAAAAGATAAACGCCATTCTTTAAATGTATAAACGAACAATAGTTTGATTAATATTGATTAGAGTGCACAATAGAAATAAAATAATTGAGAGAAGAAAAAGAGATATGTTATCTATCAAAACCCAGTTAGATTAACATTCATTGGATTGCACACTTTGTTTGTTTGTGTGGATATGT